AAAGTAATTTTTTCTCCCATTTTCAACATACACTAATTAGTTAAAGTGTATGTAAACACTTCCTTCAGAAAAATTTCTATTATCCGAATTTTTGATTATACGAATGGGGACCGGTCCCAATTGATTCGGATACTGTAGTACATTTGAGGTTTTTGACGTATTCACTGCAACATTAGCCACTTGACTGAGTGCTCTATTAATGGAGTACTGAAAGAATTCAAAAATAATTTTTATTATAAATAACTATAGTCATAATTAAATAAAATTAGTATAAACAATGCATATTTCAAATAAACGAAAGTGTAAAGTTAATTCACAGCGTACTGTAGTTTTGTAATGGTAAACACAGTTTTACAGTTTCTAATACTGTTCAGAATTTCGGGGAATCTTGGACGATTTTAGTCCACTTTGCACAAATTTCTTCAGCGAGTGCACAAGCCAGAAATCATCATGGGCAGAGATTTCAGTAGCAGAAGTATCAGAATCTTGAAGTTTCTTCTTATCAGAAAGCATTGCATGGATAAATTTAAATTTTCCATGTCTATTGCTGGGGTGGAATGAGCATTTTTTCGAAGTAACAAATGATTAGGTTCACACTTGGTGCAGATAGGCTTGGCATCTCACAGGAATTTGCAGATTAATGATCCTGAGAGCAGTAGGAGCCCCTTGGTTCATTACAGCCTTTCTGTACATGGCTGAAGCTCTAATATGTGTAGCAGATTTTTCTTGGTCTGTATTTCCTTATATTCACCAAGAGGAACAGAAGGGATTTTTTGCTTTTATCACAACATTTCAATTCTACAAAGAAGAGTGGCAGGCTGACTTCTCTATCAGTAGTTTTCAGGAAAATTCATTCAGCTTAATGCTTAGGTAACTCTTCTCGATACGCTGTTTTCTTATGGAGGCTGGATCTTCATCTGCGATTAATCTGTTAATGGAAACTTTAACTGTATTTGCTATTTTATATAAAAGTTATAAAATTGGATCCCTGTTTTGAAAGGAGCATCCAGAGCCATTCCTCTGATTGTCAAATCATCGAAATGGAGGCCAGTTTAGTTGCACCTTATGGTGCCAATGTAACCTTGAATGTTACTTTTATCATTAATTTCATAAATAATATCATATTTCCTTCCACTTGGAGGGTCTCAGATAGATGATCGACAGTAGGTTCATTTTCTTTCCACAGAAGTTGGGATGCTATTCATATCCGTTGCAAAGTTGGATAAATCCGTCTCATCCAGGTAGTGTAAGGAGTTAACCATGAAAATGTTGTGTGCAGTTTTACTTACATTAGAAGTTGAAAATGGTATCAATAGTAAACACGGATGAGTTGGAGCTAAGAGTTCCACTGCACTTTCCACACCTGGTTGGACAAGGCAACATTCAGTGTTGCTTAATTCTGAATTCTTAAAGGCAGATTCTTTCAAAGAAAAAAACTGGTATTCAGTACTACAAATATCAGAATCTGTAGGCTCAGCTACAATCTTGGAAAATTCATTTGGGGAATACCGTATTAATTTTTGGTTTAAAATTCTGACATATTTAATCCAAATATATGATGAATGTAATATCAGTAAATCACGGAGTAATACTCTGTTCAAGACATCTCTATTTTCAAAGAAACCCTGAGGAGATTTTTAAGCTTGACAGTTTTATAGCATGAGTTTTGTTCATCAACGCATGAAATACTCAAAAAATATTTTTAAATTTTCAGAAAATATAAACAGAATGGTTTTCAACATTTCAAAACAGACATGTTTGCTTCGGGGGGGGGGAGGAATCTTCAGAAGAATGTGGTTACGAAATTGAAAAAAATCACATCGTCATTTAAGAAAAATACTGCCAATGATTATTTCTTTGCCTCCATAAGATGTGGAAAATTCAAAATGTAGAGGAAAAGCTAGGCTGAATAATGAATCATTCCCAAAAAGAGTGTAATATGCAACAAATCGTTTCCGAATTGCACTTAACACAATGTTACAAAAACAGATGATGTATCACTATGACCATACATGAAGGAAAAGTGAACAAAAAATCAAGATAATAAAGAAAAATGTCTTCCATATTGCATGCAAATATCTAAAACATGCATGAGCAAACATACATTGCATAAATAGTTAGATGCAAAAATACATAGTACTACAATCTACGGTGTGGATTGGACAAAAACAACTTCCAGATGACACAATTTTTTAAAAAATTTAATTTGGATTACACCATATTTTCAAAAGTCAAACATATGATCTGAGAGTTTCTTTTTTTATACTAGCATAAATTAAATATACATAAGCATTCATATTTAGTGCACATCCCCTAATGGTTTAGTTAATTGTTAAGGCAAAATACATACTAACTATCTACAAGTTAAAAAATACCTCCATAAAGGGACCAGAGCACCCTGTTTTACCTGAGAACTTCTTTAAGCTACTTGAGAAATTATTTTTTATCTTGATACCTTCATCAGTTTCAGTAAAAATGTTACATCTTATGAAAATTATAGTACTTTTCATCTGCACCCTAGTTTGAATATTCAGGAGAACTGCTGTATATTTCGAATATACCCATGACTAAAGTCTACTTATAAGGTATTGCTCCCGCCTTCTTCGCGTGCCTTTGTGGTGTAGTGGTCTGCACCCTGGGCACGTATATAAAAGGTCTAAAGGTCCGTGGTTCGATTCTCGGCGAATTCATAATTTTTCAATCTCTCTTGCTTCAAAAAAATTTTTAATGTCTCTACAGCGGCGCCCGAACTAAAAGGGGGTGGATGATGATTCTCAGCACCCACGATTTCGCAATTGGGTCCCCTAAAACCCCAGTCGCCCTTTAAAAGGAGAGTATATAAGGTAATTCTCCCGCCTTCAAAGCGTGCCTTCGTGGTGTAGTGGTCTGCACGCTGGGCGCGTATTTCAGAGGTCTAAGTTTCGATTCCCGGCGAAGGTATTGCTCATTTTTCATTACCTCTGCTTCCAAAAAAAAAAAAAAAAAAAAAAAAAAAAAAAAAAAAAAAAAAATCCTAATAACTGTACAAGTGGCACCCGAACTAAAAAGGGTGGCGGATGATGATTATCCATACCCAGGATTAGGCGATTGGGTCCCCCAAAACCCCAGTCGCCCTTTAGAAGGGGAAGTATACAAGGTTTTTTTCCGCCTTCTTCGCGTGCTTTCGTGGTGTAGTGGTCTGCACACTGCGCGTGTATCCAGAGGTCCACGGTTCGATTTCCGGCAAAGGCGTTGCTCATTTTTCAATCTCTCTTGCTTCAAAAAAAAAAAAAAATCCTAATGACTCTACATAACTTGCTTGCTCAAGTTATGTAAGCCAATCCTTAGTAGAAGTCATAACTGGAGTCAAACAATTATCCGTACATAAGGTGATCGTCAAATAGGACGTGTAAAGGGGAAATACACCTTCAAACTCAGAAGCTGGCAACTCGCAGGAGACCTGATGAAACATATTTAATCTTTAAAGCAAAAATATTTTTAAATTTTCAGAAAATATAAACAGAATATGGTTTTCAACATTTCAAAACAGACATGTTTGCTTCAGGCGGGAAATCTTTAGAAGAATGTGGTTATGAAACTGAAAAAAGTCACATCGTCAGTTTAAGAAAAATACTGCCAATGATTATTTTATTGCCTCCATAAGATGTGGAAAATTCAAAATATAGTAGAAAAGCTAAGCTGAATAATGAATCATTCACAAAAAGAGTGAAATATTCAAAAAACGTTTCCGAATTGCATTTAACACAATGTTACAAAATCAGAGGATATATCATTATGGTCATACATGAAGGAAAAGTGAAGAAAAAAAATTAAGATAATAAAGAAAAATGTCTTAGATATTGCATGCAAATATCTACAATATGCGTGAGCATATTGCATGCAACTTTAGATTCAAAAATACATACTACTATAATTAACGGTGTGGAGTGGGCAAAAACAACTTCCAGATGATGCAATTTTTTTAAAATTTGATCTGGATTAAACCATATTTTCCAAAGTCAAACATATAATCTGAGAGTTTCTTTATTATACTAGCATAAATTAAATATACATAAGCATTCATATTTGATGCACATTTCCGAATTAATTTAGTTAATTGTTAAGGCAAAATACACACTAACTATCTGTTCGAGTTAAAAAATATCTCCATGTATATATTATTTCATAGACAAAAGCATCATGTTTTACCCAAGAAGTTCTTTAATCTAGTTGAGAAATACTGTTTATCTTGATACTTTCATCATTTTATGAAAATTATAGTACTTTTCATCTGCATCCTAGTTTGAATATTCAGCAGAACTGCTGTATATTTCGAATATACACATGACTAGGATGTATGTTCCATAAGTATGTGCACAAGTACACATGTATGTTCCACAAGTGTTTGGGTGTATGTGATTTTTCTGCATTATACTTAAAGATCATTCCAATGAACAATATCTGGCTGGTTGTAAATATTTAAGTATTGCCCATTTACAGCCTATACACAATTCCCTCCTCTCATAAAAAGATTTCTTTTAATAATTATTTAGGTACAGAATTATACCTATATAAGCCACAAGGATAGCCAAAAAATATTTTTTACTAATTATCAGTAATATATAATAAGAAAGTACCAAAATTATTATTAACATTTCTCTGAAAAATAGATTATGTGTACAGACAAAAGCAAATTATTTTATATGGCCTTGGAATCACACTACACCAGATATGCTTCAACTTCCCTTCTTACTAGTTAATGGTTGATCTATATATTATTTCATAGACAAATAATTCATATATTGTATCTTCTCACGTACTTCCCCCCCCCCTTAGCATGATATTTATCAGAAGTTTATTCATAAATGCTTTTCATTTGTTACGTACAGTTAAAAAAATTATAAACAAAGTACTGATAAAAACTATCAAGTGGAGGGAGATACTAAAGGGAAAGTACATGAGTAAATATGGTATTTACCCAGCTATATAAGATATAGCTTATTAAATATAAATATACATACCTTCTTGAAGGTTTTGCAAATATGAATGCAACTACCCCCAGAATTATCAGTGGAAGGATAATACCCACTGCTATTTTCGCTTTATTGTTAGATGGTTCCTCATTGAAATGATCAGCAACTGTAGGTTTGGTATGAAGATTCCTCCTTCAAAGCAAACAACAAAAATTCTTTAACTTATATAATCAAACAACCAGATATAGAATTTCATTTACTTCTAGCAAAATCTTTATATTATAAGCCTTCTCAGAATCATCATTGCTAATATTTTACATGCAGTGTTTAATAGGCAGCTTGTATAAAGAAAAAATTAAACCTTTTTTTAATTATAAGCATTTTTACTAGTCAAATGAAAAGATGAGGCAATATAGAGGTATCAATACATGTATGGTATAATATACAGACATCAACACATGTAGAGAAAAAAAATTTAAATTTCTAATGGATAAACAGATAAATACAAATTGAAGTAATAAAATTTTCAGCTAATTAGTAATGGCAATCACTTGAGAGCTATCAGTCTGTAAAAAAATCGAATTCGAGAAGAATTTTTTAATAAATGCCTCCATGGAGAGCTTTCTAATAGAAGTAAACTCCTGTTTATTCAATAAATACAAAAATACAAAATTGTCACATGTGTAGCTACTAGTGGGTTCAAACTCTGATAAAACTATCAAATAGAAAGGAACATGCTTTGTACTGTATACTATTTTAAAAATGCATTTTCCTTTTTAGCCACAGAAACTTTTCGTAAAATTCTCAATACAATAATATCCCAATTTTTGCAAATTTAAAGTTACACAGTTCATTATTTTATTTTACCAGTTTATACTTGTTTTCATTTGAAAATGTCAATCATCGAGAAAATACTTATAAATAAAACATTACTCTGATATATATTAAAACTAGCATTAAGAAATAATATGCACCATTTTGTATTCATGTGTATGAAATTCGGTCCTATTTAATTAAAATACAGCTTTGCTGCTACTCAATTAAAATAGGACCCCCAAAGGCAAAGTTAGACTAGACATACACACTTTTTGTCTGTCTCACTATAATTTCAAGGTATTATAAGATAAACAAAGAACAGTGCATTTTACATGCAACTAACTGAAAATTTTAAATGTTATCAAAAAATTCAATAAAATACCAAACGCTAATGTTGAGTAATAAAATAAATCACATTATTAAAGAGCAGAAGAGAGGTAAAGTATCAAAATATAATATTTTACATAAGATAAATACAAAAATTTTACATACTTATGAAAATCGGGGCATACTACACTTGTTTCCCAATCAAACAAATAAACACAGTCAGATTCATAAAGAAAAATGGGACTGCCCTAAAAATATAACAAAACAAATGCAATTCTTCATGATAATGTATAAAAATAATGTATCATGATAATGTACAGGGGTTGGACAAAAATATGGAAACACCTTTTGCTTAATATGGTGTAGGAAACCCGTTGGCATCCAAAACAGCTTGCAGTCTTCTCGGAATGGATAAATACAGTTCCTGTATGTTTGCCAAGGGAATATTATACCATTCTTCCTGCAAAACGGTGGCAAGTTCAGATAACGATGTTGGCGGTGGATAACGAGAACGCACTTTCCGTTCCAATGTAGACCACAAAGGTTCGATAATATTCAGGTCTGGTGACTGTGGTGGCCAGGGGAGATGGGACAACTCATCCTCGTGCTCAGAAAACCAGTCCTGGACAATGTGAGCTGTGTGAACAGGGGCTTTGTCGTCTTGGAAGACACCATCACCATCGGGGAACAAAGTTTGTACCATGGGATGAACTTGATCGGCCAAAATGTTCACATAAGTCTTGGCAGTCATGTGCCCTGACACAGTTATCATGGGGCTAGCAGAGAACCACGATATGGCTGCCCAAACCATAACAGAACCCCTGCCATGTTTCACTCTTGGCAACAAGCAGTCTGTATTATAGGCTTGAGATGGCGTTTTCCAGACGTAAACTCGGCCAGAAGTGGGAAACAATGTGAAAGAAGACTCGTCAGACCATATTACTCGCTTCCACTGCTCTATAGTCCAGGCTTTATGACTTAAACACCACCTTTTCCTGTTACGGGCATTAGCATCACTGATGAGTGGCTTCTCAATTGCAGCACGGCCAGCAATTCCCTGTTTATGAAGCTCCCTTCTAATTGTTTTGGTACTCACAGGGTTCGGTAACACAACATTCATTTCAGCAGTAACTTTTGCAGCTGTGGTCTTCTTATTTTTCGTCACAATTGCCCTTAATGATCGTCTGTCACGATCACTCAGGACACACTTTCGTCCGCGCTGTGATTTAGCAGATGATGTTTTTCCGCTTTTCAAATATGCGGAATAAATTTTCGATACAGTACCTCTTGAAACACTAAACACCTCGGCTACCTTGCTTACGGAAGCACCTACCATACGTGCTCCAACAATTTGCCCACGTTCGAAGTCTGTTAACTCTGACATAATGCACTGATAACCTCACATAACAGTACTCCGACAACAACTGAACTGTTTAGCACATTTACGAAGTTGTATAGGTGGCGTCAGTAGTCAAAAACGCCAGCGCCACCTACATATTTCATTAAAATCAATCTTTCTTTTCAAACATGCATTTCACAAGGTGTTTCCATATTTTTGTCCATCCACTGTATGTATGTTTAATGATAAAGAAAACATTAATTAAAAAAAAATGAGAATTAAGGATGAAAAACAGAAGTAAACCTTATATTAAAAATGAATTAGCATTTTCAAACTGAGACATTTAGTGCAATTTTATTCACTACTACGTGAAAAAAAGTGCAAAAAAGTTATAAAAAAAAAGAGCATTGGTCCTGGGCTTAGTCTGCGTGTTTCTCTGGACTTGTGACGTCGTGCTGTCACCCCCTCTTCGCACTGCTGATGCCTCCTTTCAATCGTCATTGCTTACTACCGTCATGCGCCCTTCGGGCCTTGTGTCATGAGCCGGAAACATTGCGTAAAAACAGCAATATGCCGGCAATATTGATGATGATGATGATGATGATGATTATTTGATTTTCTATATCATTAGCGAGAATTACAATTGTAATTAAAGACTTTACAAAGAAACTGTCAAATTGTTAGAATATATATGTATATATATATATATATATATACGATATTATCTATAAACGTATGATAATTTAATTTTTTATAGTAATTGATTCATCTTTAGCCTTTTTAGGCCTTTTTTGATAATTGTTTAGATAATGTTTTTGCATTTGTATATTTTTTGTACTATAGGAGGGCGAAAACAAATCAAGAAAAGAAATTAATTTTACGAAACTTTTAAATTAAATTATGTTTGAAAAAAAGGTTGGATTAATTTAAAGCGGTTAAAAAGTCCCATGGAGTTAGTTCACTGGAAAGAAACATGTTTTTTGTCACTCATTAATCAATTTGGTTTAAGACTTGAAAACACTTTTCTCTTGACAAGTTCTGTTTGAAGCATTAAACGAAGGAGATTTAAAAAAATGTTTTATTGTTTTGGTTTTAAAATGTACAAATTTCCCGTTTTTTATAATTTTTCTGCTTTGAAATGAAATATTTGTTTTCAATTTTGTAATATTCTTCGTTTTACCAGTTTCTTCGTTTTTCTTCGTTAATTTGCGTTTTACCAGGTTATTGTATTACACGGAGGAATTAGGTTTAACCTTAATATTTAATATGGCATTTTCTTTTTCGTTCTGATTTTCAACATTTTTGATTTATGATATATATGATTAATCTAATATCTACCTTTCTAATAATAAATAATAAATTAAGAATAGCTCTTTCACACCTCTTTTAAATTTGGGCGTGCTCCTCTCTGCATTCTAAAAATAGTACAGCAATAATTCTTCTAATATTCTTGCAGTTTCTTCAATTTTCTTCTCGAAAGTCATCCGTTATATGATATCTATTGCACAATTATTCCTGGAATGTGATGAAATCTTAAACCAAAATACGAATGTTACGGATATGAATTAATTAGGTGAACTTAAACATTCTTATAATGTGATCAAAATGTAATCTATTTAAAGCAATCAGGCCTTAGTATAAAAGCCGAATCTCTTCTTCGATCTCCGCTTTTTTTATTCACCTTTCTTTGTTCTCTTCCGCTTTGCTGTTAGCAACATGCTACTGCCATCCAAAAAATATTTTTCAAGTTTATCCAATGTAAAACTTTCTTTAAGAACAAGGTCCTGTAGCACCGATTTGATTCGCGTTAGATTAAATATTTATCAACCGTGAACAAAAAGGAAACAATTGAATTCGGGCCATGTCTGCAAGTTTCTGATGTATTTATAACCATCTACCATACCAAATTATTACAACCAGCTTCTTCCAGTTTCATCACATATGTGTATATATATTTAAGATGATTTTCTACATCAAAATATTAAATGTTACAATATTAAAAATCATGTAGCATATATACACTGGCCATCAAAATTAGAGGATAATGAGAAAAAATATGCTCACTAAGTAAATGTTGCAACGAGTGTCCAATGCTGTAATTATATATGTCAATTAGATACAACTGAACAGAAAATTCCACTTCCGCGCATACGTTAGCCCTTGAAATATGCAAATTCGGAGATTTACAATGCGGTGCGCAATGGACGCAAGTTGGAATTCCTGTCTGTAGAGTATTAGTATTAACGGGTGTATCCCCCAGTCCATCTAGCTGGCTTAAACCGGCCATATGACTAAAAGGAGGACTGGCGAATCCAAAAAGAGGGAGCCAGCAGCCCGGTTATCCTGTGTGTAGTGTTGTTTAAAGTGAATGTGGTTTTTGAGAGTGATCAGTAGTCAGAATTATGGCTCAAAAGCATCATTTAAGTGAAGGTCAAAAGTGGAGAATAACTGGTAGAATCGAGGGAGGTCAAACACAAATTGAGGTCATCCAAGATTTGGATATCCCTCAAAGTGTCCTATTAAGGGTTTGGAGCCGCTTTTTAAGTATTGGATAAGTTGATAGACAGCCTGGTCAAGGGCGACCAAGAGCAACAACTGCGTCTGAATACTGTTTTCTGTCGTTGTAGGCTCGAAGAAACCGCGAAGCAAATACAAGAGATTTGATTTTAGACCTTTGCGCTGCCACAGGATATCTAATTAGTCGTTCTACTGCTGAACAAAGACTGAATGAGGTTGGAATCTAAGCGAAAAACCAATGGTTTGTGTCCCACTCACTCGAACTTCACCAGTGGTCCGTTTAAACTGGAGCCATCGTCATGTTCAATGGAGCCAAGACAATTGGCATGAGTATTGCTAACTGAAAAATCCAGATATAGTTTGAACAGTGATTCTAAGCATGTTTTGATCTGGAGGGAGGAAGGATAACGCAACTTTCCTTCCCTTGTTCGTAAAATATCCAGTTTCCGTGACCGCTGTTTAATGGTTTGGGGAGGAATCATGACAAGTGGCCACACCGAGCTGCATATCTTTAAGGAGGTTCAGTAACCGCTCCAATACCTGAACGAGGTATTGGAAAGGAAGTTAGACCGTTTCGGGGTGATGAATGCCCAGAGAATTTGCTAAAGGATGACAATGCTCGGTCCATCGAGCATATGTGCTGTCAGAACACTTGCAAACAGAAGATATCAGTTGAATGGATTGGCCACCTTACTCACCCGACTGTAGCCTGATTAAGCACATCTAGAACGCCTGCCGGCGTCGAATTCGTCCCTAGATTTTCTAAGAGTTGAAAAGTGAACTTTTGAAAGAGTTGTGTACAATTTCACAAGAAGTTCACAATTTCACCTTGAAGTCTTTAGAGTCACCAAGACTTCTGGTGTTTGTGAAGTCTATGAAATTAAGATGTGAGTTGTGCATATTTGTCCAAAGTGACCATACACCATATTAAAGAAAACTGTTTTCCACAAGAGATGACTTAATTTTTCCATCATTTTCAATTTCCATAAATTTGGTTTTAATTTCAACATTTTGTTAATAATCAACTGCCAAACATTGTAATTTATTTTAACTAACACTTTTGTACAAATTACTACTAACAATTTTACATTAAATATCTGTTACATTTTATTTCTGTCATTATTCTTTAATTTCGATGACCAGTGTATCTTCTTGATAAATTTATATTCACACATAACTCTGGGTACGAATAATGATTATAAAAGTAAACTTAAAATTTATACTGGATGCACTGGAAGGGGGATAGTATTGCAATGATCATATCTGAAAGAAACAGCAAATGGCATTTTACAAAGTTTCATGCGTAACGATTACACATTGCGACTTTTGCACTGACTCTATCCACAGTAGGCATGCAGAGTTTTATTTTCGTCAATTAATAGTATCGTATTATTTTCACTTTACTACTATTTTTTTTAATCAATTCGCACCAGAATCCAAATCAATTGCATCACTGTACATTTCTTTAGCTTGACGTTTAGTTGAGGTTTAAGCTTCTTTAGTTTTAGTTTAGACAGTCTTACTGATCAGTTACTCTGTTTATATCTCCCTGCTACCTGTGCGAGTGACTGGTTTTGGCTTTGGCAAGTCAAATTTGCTTTGAGAATACTTACAGCCCGGTCCAAAGCTTACTTAGGTATAGGATAATTTGCTTTTAGTAATTTTTATTTCACTGAACTTTTGTTATACATTTCCTGCAGGTAGCTGATGTTGAGTGTTTATTAGCGTCTTTGTTTAGTTTAAGATTTTTCATTAAATTAAATTAATAACATTTCAAGAAGCTATTGAATTTTTACTACCTACTTCTGGTTTCAAATTAATTTTTAGAAACTGAAAAATGCAATATCCGATTAAAAAAAAATAAAACCAAAGAATGAAATCTAAATGCAAATACGATTTTATGTAATTAGAATGTAAAATACAGTGGAGAATTTATGTTTTAAACTTTTTATTCACTTCTGAATTTTTCCTTACTCCTCGTTTTACTTTCTTTTTCCTAAAGAATTTAGGCAGTGACACTTACAATTCCAGCTCCCAAAGCGCACTGTAGATTGATAATTGTGGTAACATTTTTCATACTGTTCTTTACACATGATTGAGTTTGAGATACTAATGTTATATGCAGTGTGGAGCCTAAAAAAAAAAAAAAAAAAAAAAAAAAAGATTAACACACTTCTATAAAAAGCTAAAAAACACATTACTTAATCAAATACTTAAAATCTACTTTATTTAAAGTATGAATTAGGAGAAGTTATACCATTTGAAGAAAGATTAAGAAAAAAATATTTGCATTTACATTAATGAATGGAAACTGCGTAAGAACTGGCATTGCACAAAATAAAATGTACTCAGTAATTTTAGCTACTTAATCACTTACTGTCTAATTATTATAAAGGAATTTAGATGTATTCTTCATAGAAAATCTAAATAATACAACCTTATATATTTGATGCTAAAAATAATCTATTGCTAAACGCTACATTTTTTTATCGTTAAAATACCAAATATTAATAAACAGAAGAATTAAAATGCACTATATGCTTAGCAATATAAAATAATACCTCTCGCAACGAAGATCCCAGAGTCAGTGCTACCAATATCTCGAATAAAATTTGTATCTATTTTAGTCTGACAAACAGCAGCCTTGGAACAAGCATTTGAATCCGACGAATTCTGGGAAACACCATTCAAATTAATTTCATACTTATATTGACCAGAAACTGAAGTACCATTTACAATAAATGTTCTGAAAAGAAAATTCACATAAATATTAAAAGTAAACAGCTTGTATTAAATTACTGACAGAGATTCAAAACATCATAACATAAAAGTATTCCAGAACAATGAAGTAGAATTCTGCTAATAAAAAACTATAAAGTACAGGTAGAATATATTTCTAACAGATATTACCAGAAAAATGAACTCTATACATAAGCAATAGTGTAGTTTTCAGGAAAGTGAGATTTAAAATTAAAAGTTTGTGAATATAGATTGATTAAAATTATTTTAACTTAATAATGATGAGATTTGTTTTTGTATAGGATTCTACATCAAGTTAATAACTTGATGTAGAAATAACTTTAAACTTTATTACTTCAATTTTTGGTAATAATGTATTAAATAGCAAAAACATTATGACTTAAATAATGAAAAATATTAATCCTTTGAACATATATGAAGATTGGAAAAAAGAAGAAAGAAAAAAAGAAACAGAAAAGACATGGAACTTCAAAACACATCCCTACTATAATAGTGCAAGAGATCACAAAATGAAATATACCGAGAAAGTTTGTGAAGTGGTGTTTGTGGTGTTTGGGGCTTCAACGGCAGAAGTTACAGTAATTTGGGTATCTTAAAATTAGGTTAATTAATTGTTAAATGCATACATTTTTCTTTGGGAGCCATAATTGGTATGGCTTTATGTACTAACTAGGTAATTTATATACTGACTAGTTAGAGGTATACTGTATGCAGCACAATATATTTAGAATAAGGTTTTTAAAAGAATTGTGTAAAATACAGCATTAAAAATCATCTGCTAAGCCAAATGGTAAATGATTTTTGAAATACTATAGCTGTATAATTTTGAACCATAAGCTTAAAAGGGTATTTAAGAATGTATATGATCTCATTATTTAAGTTACACACAGTATCACAAATTATCAGTATATTCAAATTTGTCTTTCTCTAACAACAGTTTTAAACCACATTACGCAGAGAAAACAGTAGTACAGTTCAAAGAGCAGGATCTGGACTTGTTAGAACTTCAACTGATTTCAGGATTTTCTGGAGTTTAGATCCTCATTTTAAATCTAGGAAGAGGACATGTAGAAATTATAAACTAAAAAAAACTGAAATTGTTGCTTATGAAATAATGAAACATTTATGACCTTAAGAAAAAAAAATGAAAACAAAAATTATTCATTTATTAAATATTTCTTTCAACACAAGTCGTTTAAATTGCTTCATTTTCTATGCTAATACTTTCTCTTTAATTTTACAGATAGACATAAATTCTTGTTTGGTAACAAAATCCTGTAATTACCATATTCAGAAATCCCACTAAATTGCCAATCGAAATTTTTTTCATTCCCAACAACCTCTCTATCACTATTCGTAGAGATATTTTTTGGATTTGAAACCATACTAAAGATCTTGCTGCTCCTTATGACGCTTGGAACACTTCAGTTATTATCATCTTTTTTTACCACCATTCTTTTACATTTCATTTACAAATTCCATAAATTGGGAATTTTTGCGTTTGTTTGCAATATCCCAAAACTTGAAATTAGCAGCTATCATTATAAAGCTTAGCAAGTGTCCGTTGTACACTAAAAGGGAAACATCGTGAGATTAGAGACAAAAGACATGTTCTCCTGCTAAAAATATATGTTGCTGCTATCACATACCAAGGAAGTAGGCCTCAATTATATTAATTTTGTTATTTATGTTACATGCATATGGGTAATAGAATGAATGCTCACAGAACTGATGATAACTTAATAAAATTTATTTTTCCGACAAAAATTTCTGAAACGTTCTGAAACGTTCGATAAAAGCACACGTATGGCTCTCCTCAGTAACACAAAACAATATCGGTAATTACATTCTCAAATAGCTAAGAACATTAAAGACAAAGCAAAGCGCATCTAAAAGGCGAAGCTCACGCGGAGATTAGTCAATACTACGATCTCAAATCTGAACCAAACAACAGTGAACTAATGCTCACGGTGGTCAAATGAAATTTTTCCCCAGCTGCCGAAAAATTTTCAGTACCTACCGTTTCTCAAAATTACTGAAAGGTATACATAGTTAAAGATAAGGGCTGGATACAAACGCAGTTACAGATAGGAATCAATTACAGTTATTCACTTAAAATTATACAGGGAAAATGTAGCCAAATGGTCAACGAGATTGGTGACTTCTAGGCTTCTTGGAATTTCACAGCGAATTTGGAGACAAAAATTAGTCACAAACACCACCACCAGTTTGGCGATATCTCGGCAATTTAGCGAGACAGCATTTTAGCTCAACATTAAATAGACCCCTTATAATTTTATTTAAGTTTAGGAATTCTTGAGGCTGTTCAGATTACATTATACAAAACTTGTAAATTTGTCCCCTTCCCAAGAACAGCAAATCCCGGGCAGAATTGTTCCTGGACTGGAAGCGTTACTTACAAGTAAGGAAAACCAACAATTCCAGATTTACCTAAATATTCTTGAATGATATCTTCAGCAACATTTCTCCTCCCTTCATCACTTAGTAGTGCATTCTGCAACAACTCCAATGTTATTCCAAAGACATATATATTAGAGGACTACTGATTTAGAAGCAAAACACAAAAATCAGCGCAATAGTTACTAATTTTCACAGGACTAGGTTTGATAGTTTTACCGAACCATCATCCTCAAGTTCGAAAGCGCAAATGAACGAGATAAGATATAGTGATTAGATATGATAAGAATGATTGGACAGGAGTTAAGCTACTGGCACCATCTATTGATGAAACAACAACTAAAACACAACGTCCTTAAAGGCTGAAGGCAAAGATGGATTGGAATTAGGGTCGTTAACTAGAACAGACAAATTGTTCTGAATGTTAAACGCCTCTAAAAATCTAATTCATCAATGGAAAATGTTTTTTGAATAATTTTGGTTGCAGAAAAAATTGAAAGTTTGATTTTCGGACCAACAATGTCGGGCAACAGAGGACTTCTACGTTTCCTTTTTTCTAACATATGCCTCATGTTCCTTAAAGCGAAATTTTAAGACTGTCTTAGTTTGACCAATGTAAATTAAACCAAACTGGCAAGGATTCTGTAAGTACCCCAGGAAGTCATATCCGGAATGAGGTTCTGAGTAAGGAACTCGGAATTTTATTGAAAGGAGAATAAATAACCCGAAATTTAAATTTCTGTAAAATACATGCAATTTTATAGTCCCACAAATGCGAATTTCGAAATCGATGTGCTTCATGTAACGGTGTGGGGTGTGCTACGGAAATGTCATACATATTTCACACGGTGCAGGCTTTAAAACCTTCCAACAGACTCTTGCATACAGCTTTCTGTGAGAATTTGCGAGATAAGCTGGAGGAAGATGACTTGTCAAATAGACTTGTGTTTACGGATGAAGCCACTTTTCACATTTCTGGTGAAGTTTGTTGCAGTAATTTAAAATTTTAGGGCATAAAAATTCCACATAGCGTAAGAGAGCCTGAGCGTGATTCTCCAAAGGTAAAAGTTGTTTTCTGAGCCATTTCCAACATTTGTGTTTTGGTCCTTTTTTATTCATGGAAAAAGCGATTAACAGGTGGATTTACTAAGATATACTATCAGATTGGTTGTTCCCTCACCTGGAGGAAGCAGTTCCTGGCTTCATTCTGCAGCAAGATGGTGTTTCATCACACTGGCATAAAAACGTACGCCAGTACCTGAACTATAGTCACTGGAGTGACCATGCTGGGTCGAAAAATATGCCATTTCTTTGATGAGCTACCGATATTCCCTGATCAAATCCCTTGTCATTTTTTCCCATGGGGTTTCATTAAAGACCAAAGTGTTCGTGCTTCTATTTGCCCAGGATGTAAGCAATTGAAACAGTGGATAACTGAAGTGCTCGGAACATTGACAACGGTTATTACATGACGAGTGTGCCAAGAATTGCAATATATTATGGCAAATAAATATATACGTATCTCCAGTGATCCGTATCACTAGAGCAGAGCCAATAGAACATCCATAGCACCGGTGGTACATTACATTATTTTTAGTGGTACTACATTTTTTACAGAAAAAATTAAATGAATGTTCAGAATGAATTTAAAATTGCACCCCTTTTAACATTTCGTTTTAATCTTTATTATTCAAAAACACATTTTTTTTTTACTTTTATGGCTCCAGCTTTAATTTTCTAATGATGACTTTTCAGAACAATTTCCCGAACATCTTCAAACAATTTCCCGAAGTTACGATTTCCAGGAATCATGGCGGCACTCCAGTTCGGTTTTTTCCCTTCCTCTCTCTTCCCTAGCTAAATGTAGTTCAGACTAACTTTGCATTGCTGTGGATAACGATCAATTAATTGACCACTTCAGAAGGAGTGACAAAGTTAATTAGCAGGTTTACTATTCTTGTAGCTTCAATTTTCTTATTGCTAGAGAGTGTGAATGAAGTTAAGAAGCAAATTTGAATTTTCCTCTTATTTCTTTTTTTAAGCAAGTATTTTCATCTAGCTGCAGAAATTTTGATTATAAATAGATGGTGCTAGCGTCCAGCATAAACGTACTAGCGTCTACATCCCAAAACGGCAGCCTATGAGAGAGGCGATTCTATTATTTTCATCGGGGAGTAGGGAAGTTAGAATGGTTTTCTGAGGAACGCAACGGCAGTGCACTATGTTTGCTTACATTAGGAAGTTCAGAAAATTGCAAAGGTGGATTGCCTTAGTTGCGATTACTTTCAGGGAAATATTAGGCAGCTTTTTTGGTTTGCTGATAGAGGGCAAATAGATAATTTACCCTTATAAATCCGCGTTTACCTATTTAAACTTCAGAAGATTTAAGATGAAGTGAATATATTCAACACAACAGAACGCAAGCTTAAGACTTGTAAATCTTTTAAAAAACAATACATCGATAATTAAAAATATTGTTTACAGTTCATTATTAAAAACTTTTTATAAATGCATAGTTATCATATAATTAACAATTCATCCATGCATTATCTCATTAATTATTATAAT